CCACCACAGGCACCAACGGGGCCACCAATGTCAGTGGGGTCTCCCATGAGGCCGCCATGGCCACCAACGGGACCGTGGCCACCAGTGAGGGGTCAGGGGCCACCAACGAGGCCTTTGGGGCCACCAAAGAGGCCACCACAGTCAAGGAGGACGTTGTGGCCACCGACGTGGTCAGTGCGGCCAGTGACAGCGACGCGGTCGCCGTGGCCACCAGCGAGGTCGCCGTGGCCACCAGCGAGGTCACCATGGCCACCAGGGGCTCCAGGGAGGCTCCTCCAGCCTCGATGGCCTCCGGTGGCCCAACGGAAGCCAAGGATGGCCAAAGGAAGGTCTTGGGAGGCGGCCCAAGGGATTGTCCCGAAGAGCCAGCGGAGTTTTTGGGGAAGTCAACGGAGCTCAACCAAAACCCAAGAGAATCATTGGAAAAGCCAACGGAGCCGTTGGAAAAGCCAACGGAACCCAACCAGAACTCAACAAAAGCCTTGGGAAGCCCAACTGAACCCAACGAGGACCCAATCAAACCCAACGAGAACTCAACGGAAGTCAACGAGAATGCAACGGAAGTCAACGAGAGCGCAACGAGGCTCAACGATGACCCAACGAAACCCAACGAGAACCCAACAAAAGCCAATGAGAACTCAATGAAACCCAACGAGAACCCAACAAAACCCAACGACAACCCAACAAAACCCAACGAGAACTCAATGAAACCCAATGACAACCCAACAAAACCCAACGAGAACTCAATGAAACCCAATGACAACCCAACAAAAGTCAACGAGAACTCAATGAAACCCAATGACAACCCAACGAAACACAATGAGAACTCAATGAAACCCAATGAGAACTCAATGAAACCCAATGACAACCCAACAAAACCCAACGAGAACTCAATGAAACCCAATGACAACCCAACGAAACACAACGAGAACTCAATGAAACCCAACGAGAACTCAATGAAACCCAATGACAACCCAACAAAACCCAACGAGAACTCAATGAAACCCAATGACAACCCAACAAAACCCAACGAGAACTCAATGAAACCCAATGACAACCCAACAAAAATCAACGAGAACTCAATGAAACCCAATGACAACCCAACAAAAGTCAACGAGAACTCAACGAAAAACGAGAACGCAATGAAGCCCAACGAGAACTTAACGAAACCCAATGAGATCTCAACAAAACTCAATGAGAACTCAACGAAACCCAACAAGAACTCAATGAAGCCTTTGGAAAACTCAACGAAACCCAACAAGAACCCAACGAAACTCAACAAGAACCCAACGAAACTCAACAAAACCTCAACGAAACCCAACAAGTACCCAACAAAACCCAACAAGAACCCAACGCAACCCACCAAGCCCCCGAGAACCCCCGTGGCGGCCGCGCCGTGGCCGACGGTGCCGCGGCTGAAGCCGCTGCGGCACGCGTCGCAGAAAGAGATCGTCCTCTACGCCCACTTCCGGGGGCTGCCCTACGCCAGCGCCGAGTGCCGCCACGCGCCGCTGGCGTTCCGCGGGCACCCGCGGGCGCTGCTGGGGTCAGTGGTCACTGGGGTGGTGGCCAAGGGGGTTGTGGCTGTAGGAGTGGTGGTCAAGTGGTCAGTGGTCACCAGGATGGAGCTGGTGGCCAAGGGGTCAGTGGTCACTTGGATGGTGGTCCAGGGGTCAGTGGTCACCAGGATGGGGTTGATGGCCACTGGCAGGGTGGTGGTCAAGGGGTCAGTGGCCACCAGGATGGAGTTGGTGGCCAAAAGGGTGATGGTCAAGGGGTCAGTGATCACTGGGATGGTGGCCAAGGGGGTTGTGGCTGTAGGGGTGGTGGTCAAGTGGTCAGTGGTCACTTGGATGGTGGTCCAGGGGTCAGTGGTCACTTGGATGGTGGTCAAGGGGTCAGTGGTCACTTGGGTGGTGGTCAAGGGGTCAGTGGTCACCAGGATGGAGTTGGTGGCCAAAGGGGTGATGGTCAAGGGGTCAGTGGTCACTTGGATGGTGGCCAAGGGGTCAGTGGTCACTTGGGTGGTGGCCAAGGGGTCAGTGGTCACTTGGGTGGTGGCCAAGGGGTCAGTGGTCACTTGGGTGGTGGCCAAGGGGTCAGTGGTCACCAGGATGGAGTTGGTGGCCACTGGCAGGGTGGTGGTCAAGGGCTTGGTGGCCAAGGGGGTTGTGGCTGTAGGGGTGGTCACCAAGTGGTCAGCGGTCACTTGGATGGTGGCCAAAGGCGTGCTGGCCACCAGGATGGGGTTGGTGGCCACCGGCAGGGTGGCCAAGGCCGCGCTGGCCACGGCGGCTGTGGCTGCAGGGCCGGTGGTCACTTCACCCAGGGTTTTGGTGGCCACAGTGACCACCAGGCCCACAGTTTTGGTGGCCCCGCTGACCACCATGCCCAGGGTTTTGGTGGCCACAGTGACCACCAGGGTCAGGGTTTTGGTGACCCCCAGGCCCAGGGTTTTGGTGGCCACAGTGACCACCATGCCCAGGGTTTTGGTGGCCACAGTGACCACCAGGCCCGGGGTTTTGGTGAGTGCAGTGACCACCAGGGTCAGGGGTTTGGTGACCACCAGGTCCAGAGTTTTGGTGACCACCAGGGTCAGGATTTTGGTGGCCACCATGCCCAGGGTTTTGGTGGCCACAGTGACCACCAGGCCCAGAGTTTTGGTGGCCACCATGCTCAGAGTTTTGGTGGCCACCATGCCCAGGGTTTTGGTGGCCACACTGACCACCAAGGCCAGGGTTTTGGTGACCACCATGCCCAGAGTTTTGGTGGCCACACTGACCACCATGCCCAGGGTTTTGGTGACCACCAGGCCCAGAGTTTTGGTGGCCCCGCTGACCACCAGACCCAAAGTTCTGGTGGCCACCATGCTCAGAGTTTTGGTGACCACCAAGCCCAGGGTTTTGGTGGCCACCGGGGCAAGGATTTTGGTGACCCCCAGGCCCAGGGTTTTGGTGGCCACACTGACCACCAGGGTCAGGGTTTTGGTGACCACCAGGCCCAGCGTTTTGGTGGCCACAGTGACCCCGCTGACCACCAGACCCAAAGTTC